TTTTTATAAAATATCCATCAATTGCATCATTTTCTTATTTTTTCATTTTTTAATTCATTCATTTTTGTTTTGGGACGCATGGGTGGCCGAGCGGTGAGAGCGCTGGCCTGTCACCTCTGTGGACCCTGTTCGAATCTCGGTCGGGGCGCCATATGTGATTTGAGTTTCTTTCGTTCTCTCCCTTGCGTCGAGGGTTTTTCCGGGTCTTTCCGGGTTTTCCTCCCTCAGTAAAAACGAACCATTTCTATCTGCTGTGCTCCGCGTTCAGTCGTTCGTTGCTATGTAAAGGAAGCGCCTAGCCGGCAGCACGCCTATGTGTAAGTGTATGTAAAAATGTGTCTGTAATATAGCACTTCGACTTGATAGCGCGTCGAGCTGCGTCTTTCGCAATTCAGCACCCGTGCTGCCATGAAGGACGATTAGCACCCAACACCTTTACCTTTACCTTTACCTAAGTCAAAAGATAGCAGTGTACTAAGATAACAACGCAGTTTACCATAGTCCGCCCAACCATTGCTTGCWTGAGAGAGAGAAAAGAACGAATGCGCCGACTGTTATGTTATCAGCGCGCGGTCTTAGCAAAATGAGGATTACCTGTGTTATTATGTCACGGTCCCGTTCAAGGCGGGTCTACACAAGACTGTGAAAAGATATGAAACACCGGTCACGTGATGGATCGATGTGTGCGGGATCGGGTAATCTTCAAATTACGAGCTTCGAGTTACGCGCTTTTCGAGTTACGCGCTCGACCACGCCCAAATTTTCCTCGGTCACGCCTAGCGCGTAACTCGATGCAACTAAAATAACTTACAGTGTTCTAGTTACGAGCTTTTAATTCAAAATCAACATAAAAAAGAGCTCGTCGCCAATGCAATCTATGTACATGCATTCTTTAATCTATAAATAAATAGTCAGGCCATTTCTTCACAAAGTCACGCAACAATAGTGTTTTGTAAATACTTTTCTAAAATTCGAAGTGACCGAAGAAGGAAGGAATTGATCAAGAATTTTATTCTCACGTTAGTATCATCATGCATGATATCAATATTAATATAAATGTCAGGTGATTCCCACTTTCTAATCTGAATCGGTATTGAAACAAATCGCAAAGATATTTTAAAATTTAAGGGGTTTTCAATAAGACTCACTCAATCGTGAGCTGTAAATCCATTAGTCAGCCGATTACACAACATTCGTTCCAGCCCCGCTTTATTTATTCGGCAAATAAATGAAGAAACTAATCAGTTRGAAACTAACAAAAAACAAACGGCATGTACGGAAAGACTTGCCGAGATTTCCCTGCCTTGCGATAATGGCAAATGTAAAATGTAACACTGAAAAAAGAGTCGACATTAAGGTACTGTATTATAAAAAGGAAGATATGATATTTGTGTTTTTTTGTTTGTTTTTGCTGTAAGGCATTACATTTTTTTGGTCTTACACTATTTGTTTGATTCGTGCACAAGATGAAATAGACGAATGCATGTGAGATGGGACTTTCTTTGTTTGCACACAACATTAATTACCTCAACTCTTTCAATTAGATAGAAAATTAGCTGCTTCATTAATGTTGTCGATGCGATCTTGATCTTGCTATGTGATGGAGAGTGTCGTAATTAATAGAAGTTGATTATGGATGATTATAGTTGCTTATTATCGATCGTTTCTTGGGCATGAAGTTGTACATATTAGCATAATAGCTATTTTCAATTACCGGCTTTTTGCACTAATTCTTGTAATTTGAAGCCTAAGGGCTGCCATTTTATAATTTTAAAACTTGTCCTTGACGTATTTCAATGTCTAATAAAATTATCTTTCGTAAAAGAGGAGTCTTTTCCTTCGTTTCCTTGAAAAACAAAAGCCGTAAAAACAATGAGCTCTCTTTTATATTGATTTTGGTTTAAAAGCGCGTAACTCGAACACAGTAAGTTACTTTAGTTGCATCGAGTTATGCGCTGGGCGTGACCGAGGCAGATTTGGGCGAAATCATATAGAGTCAATTTCGAATGAGTGGGAAACGTACGGTAGAAATTACCGCAGGGTTACGACCTGGCCTGCACAATTTTTGTGAAGCAATGAGACACTAGAATTTGGTAACAGTACGATTACGGTTACAGTACAGTACCGTCCGTTTTCCACTCATA